ACACAGGCAGAGGGAAAAGCAGGCTCCATGCAGAAAGCCCGACATGAGACTTGATCCAGGTCTCCAGGATCATACTCTGGGCTGAAGGCGGCGCTAAACCGCTGAGCCACCTGAGCCGCTGCCCATCCAACAAGTTTTTAGATGTCATATTTTCTCATCTGAATAGTTTCGGTTGGTTTTATTACATATCTGTTGACAGATAATAAGACAGTTGCTAATAATTCTCTAGAGATTAGACACTGATGTGTATATAAAAGAATCACAAGTAGATTTGATTAAATACCATTCATCTGCTGCTCTGCACTGTTAAACATACTTTTCGGAATGTCTCCTCTGCTATATTTAAACACTTTGTTCTTGGAAATCTCACTGAAGAAGGAAAAAAAATGTTTCTTTTTAATTAAGCTTGAATATATTTTATACTTAAGCCAATATTGAAATTTAATGACAAAATAAAAATATGGCCAGAAAATAAAATGAATTTCAATGGGAAAAACTGCCACTTAATAACAAAGTGAGAAGTCAAACTGCAAAGCATAGAACATTTGGCTTTGTGTAAATAAAGCATCACACAACTGAGGCCAGAGTGAATCACCAGGAAACATGAGTAAGCAAACATGAAGCAAGTGTGATACTGGCCATCTATAAATATGCAGCACATCTTATTCTGATGTACACTGACTAGACAACCTGCTTTAACCTGTTTTGGATCAGAGACCTGGAAGGCTCCTTGAAATGCCTGATGCTACCAAAGAGAGGAAAACATTGCCAGTCAGATACTGGGTAAAGGCTGCTTGAATCAGAAGCACACACATCACCCAATTGAGAAAGACTTGGAGTTATTAAATAAATACACAGAAAGTGTTTTACAAATCAACTGTAGTAACCCAGCTGAGATACCATAGCAACATAATCTAATGACTCAGCAGTGTCGGAGAAGAATGGATCAGAGGTACCTCGAGGCGTTTGATGATTTTTGCTGAGAAACAATCTCATCTAAAGGATTTACTAATTCAAAGTACCAGAATTTTTCTCAGTATTTATTCTAAGGAAATGTTCAAATATCTAGTGCCAAATGCCACACAGAATTAGCACATCAAATATGGAAATGCTTGTCCTCAAGTTGGGCACTATGTCATCATCCCAGTCTATTCCCAAGAACTGACACCAAACAATGATAGTTTGAATCTGAAAAGGGTAGGGCAGGGTGTGGGAGATGGGAGAAACTCCCAAAAAAATCTCAGAGGAATTATACTTAAATAAAACGAATATATTGCAGGCCAGGTGAAAAAACTCAGTTGCAATCACATTCTACTTTCTCCATCAAAATTTATGACAGTTAATAAATTAAATAGCCTATAGCTTGTATGAAGGCTACTATCATATATCCAAAAGTAAAGAGGAAGAAAAATATTCTACAGGTAGTTCTTGCCAAACTAGATAAAACTGCGTACCACTTTCTGAAGTAAATTGGTATGAAGACAGGATTTTTATTTTTGCTTAAGTACTCGGCGTATCCACATTAATATCAATCTCAATTGTCTTCCTGAGTAAACAGTGTGTGGCACCTGCAAATTAGTCATAGTTGAGCCTCTGGCTACTATAAAAAGCTAATGGGCAAGCTTGAGAAGTTGAGGAATAGAAATTATTTCTAAACAGCAACACACACACACACACACACACACACACACAAAATCACATTTTCAATGATTTTACCAAAAAAAAAAAAAATCTTACTGTTCCTCCCCTCCCCGCATTTTTAATTCCTCAAACCCAAAGTTTTGGTTCTCTTTCTCTTTCCTTCTTTTTCCAAATAGAGAATATCTTATCCTGTAGTGGGCAAGAGTGGTAAGTGGAATAGATGCAGGCCATCTGATACAAGAATATCTCCCGAGCATGGAATTTCTGAACTTCTCTATTAGGAGCTATTGACAGATGGACTTGAAAATCTGTGAATTGTAGTAAGGTAAAAGCCATTCAAAACCATATTCTTTTGGGAACTAGGATTTTGGCATGAGAGGAAGGAGATATAAGAACTTAAGTAAAACACTCTCTACTAGCAAACATGAATTAGAAGTATTACTGCCAACTCTAGATGAAACTTTTGAAAAAAAAACTCTATTTCTGGCTTCTGAAAGGTCTAGAAATAAAAACTACCTTAGTCTCCAACAACCACCCCAAAACTCAGTGGTTTGTAAATACAAGGAGCTAGGGCTCCTTGGAGAAATGGGTCATTGTAGTTCTGGATAAGGAATATGCAATATGCCTGGCCTGAAACATCTTGTCATCCCCCACCACAACCCCAATCAAGCTATGAGCACTAGTCAATGCATGTGAAAGGTGTCAGGAGCCCACGTGAAGAGATTCACATTGGTCAAATATGGATAATTTATCATCAAAAAGAATAATAGCAATGAATGAAAATGTATCCAAATCAAATTCATCCAAAAATCAATGACACATGAAGTATGAATGCATGAGTTCATAATGATACTTAAAAAAAAAACCCAAAAAACATTATTGTTTACATGCCAGGTAACCAAATTGTCTTCTTTTTTGAAACTGCTAAATATGGCAAAAGAATCAAACACTTATCCTGCCTTTGCTATAATAACTATATACACTTTAGGATAACTGAATAGATGATAAAGGTAATTTCTTCTTGTATAAAGTCTTGTCAAATGTTAAAACTAAATATAGTCAAATGTCTAGATCAAACTACCAACTAATAAATACAGGGGAGAGAAGAATGCAATCAGCATAATCAGCAGTTCTGAAGAAACTATAAGGGGCAAATGGATGGATGGGGAGCTGGGGGTTGGCAGAGGGCTAAGGTTCTCCTTTCTAGGCAAGTAGAAACCTCTAAGTTAAAAGAAACCAACTAATGAAAATGCATGGATCTTATTTTGATCCATATTCTTAAAAATAAATTGAAAAACATTTTTTATGAGACAAGTGGGAAAATCTGAACACTAAAGGATAAAGGATTTTTACTAATTTAAGTGAGATCATAATACTCTGGTCGGTTTTTAAAAATGAGAAGTTAACTTTTAGAAGTGGTATCATTTCATTCAAAAGTAGTTCAGTTTGTATTATTTCCAAATAATTTGGGGGAAAGAGGAAAGTTGGTAGATGAAAGAAGATTGATCCAGTTGGTGATAATAGTTTAAGCAGTGTTTTTTTTTTTAATTTTTTAATTTATTTTATGATAGTCACAGAGAGAGAGAGAGAAAGAGGCAGAGACATAGGCAGAGGGAGAAGCAGGCTCCATGCACCGGGAGCCCGACGTGGGATTCGATCCAGGGTCTCCAGAATCGCGCCCTGGGCCAAAGGCAAGCGCCAAACCGCTGCGCCACCCAGGGATCCCAGTTTAAGCAGTGTTAACTGGTGCATGGAAGGGGGGGCTCCTTGAACTCTTTGCTCATATGTATGCAAGTTTTTAAAAAACGAAAGATAAAGGCTTTTGTTGAAAACTCTAAAATACTGAAGGCATCATTAGGATAAAAACTAACTTTTTCCTTGGGACACCTGGGTGGCCCAGTAGGTTAGCGCCAGACTCTTGATTTTGGCTCAGGTCATGGTCTCAGGGTTGTGGGACCAAGCCCTGTGACAGGTTTTCACCCTCAGCAGGGAGTCTGCTTGTCCCTCTCCATCTGCTCCTCCCTCCTCTTGCTCCCCCACCCCCCGCCATGATACATGCTCTCTATCTCTCTAAAATAAATAAAGTCTTTAAAAAAGATAACTTTTTCCTCAAATAGCAAAATACTTTAGTAGAGGCATACTTTGTGAACCTTAGATGTGAACAAAAATGAAAATGCTACTTTGTATTATAGAGAATCATGTCCTGATACTGATTAAAACGGAAGAATTTTTTTAGTGACAGATCCAAATCATGAGCACTTCAAATGTAGAACTTACAAAATGTACCAAATTAGAGTATAGCCAGTGGTAGCAAGCAAATGAGTGGATGCAGGGATCTGACATAATGGAAATGCACAGATCATCGGAGTTAATGAAAATCCTCTTCCTGCCTGATCATTTTTAATAAACCTTGAGTGACTAATGAGCCTTTTAATGATACCATCTATTTCTGCTTAGTGGTGGGACAGTTAATATGTAGTGTAAAAAAATACAAGTGCATATTCATAAATATTAAAATAGTTACTTATTTGTAGTATATCTACATCTTCTTCCTCCACTTCCTCTTCCTTCAAGTGGAATTATAAACTTGTGGGTTTTGACAAGCAAAACATTTTTCTGGCGCTTGTATGGATACCAGCTGGGTGCTAATTTGTCCTGTGATGGACTAGGTCACTAAATATTACAAAGCTAGAAATGTTCCTTTAAGCTTCCAGGAATGTGTCTGAATGTTGGCTGGCAGATGCCCCCGAGGAGATAGCTCTTGTCTGACAGCCTGTATGATGAGTTCTAGCCAATACAAAGTAAGAACTGGTTGCATACACATAAGCCAGCAAGTCAGTTCAGGCAATGGGGGTGAATGGTGCTTTGGGGGATGCACCGCTAAAAGCATTCTCTGGTCTAGTAATACTGACATAGACAGGTGTCCAGTATTTAGTCATGTGTCTAAGTGCCATGTTTTGATTACACATTAGTCAGTAACAGCATCCCCAGCACATTTAAATCCTACTCTGTCATAGATCAATAGTTTACCCATGTGGTTTTGCATTTAACCCTTCAGCTATATTTAAGCAACAAAAATGATGGAATTGACACATTGCTTCTAGGCCTGAAAGATAAACTGGATCACTGGGTGAGCAGTTTGGACAAGACAATAAAAATAGCCTGAAAATAACAGACTAAGTATACTATGGCAAGTTGGTTGCAAAGAAGGCCTACTCTCTGGGCATGGCTTTATGTTATCCTCAGGGTATTGAACAGTCAAAAATAGACGGTATAGGATAAAATAGTCAAGCATTGCTTCTTTCAGCCAAGTCTGATGAAATGGATGGATTGCATTGGGAAAATGAAGAGAAACCTACCTGAAGACTGCAAGGGTCAGAGACCAGAGCACTAATGGCTTCCTCAGTTCAAACTTGGCCCGTTTGTTCATCAGGTGCCGACCACCAAAGATAAAGGCAGCATACAGTGCGGAAAACAGGAAAGATTTCTTCCTGCAACAAACAAAAAGCCAGTATCTTAGGAAATAAAAATCTTTCAGGCAATTTATTTTTATTCATCAGAAATTTTTATTTACTAATTATTCATAATATTTTATAGCAGTACCTCTTTGTAAGCGCTAAAGGCATATTCTTGGGAATGTGCCCCTTTGCTGAAGAGGGAATATTTATTTAATCCTTTTGGTGACATGGCATTCCATGGAAACCTTCCTCGACAAATTAGGACATTCTAGATTAACCAACACATGTTGGAATAGAGCCATGCTCTTTTGGGGCTCTTTGACTTTAAAAATTTCTACAATGTAACATTAATATAACAAAAAGAAAAATTTTCACTGGGGGAACTAAAGCACTAAAATCAAGCTACATGACTTAGGGATTCCTGGTAGACATCATAAAATGCAATAAGAAGAACACAGAACTACCTAAAGCAGACTTAAAGCTTGAATTTGAATCTAATCAAAATCTAGACTACTAAAGACTACTTAAAGCTTGAATTTGAATCTAATCAAAATCTGATTTTACTACTTATTCACAGGAAATATAGACTGTGGGAACTTCCATAGGACAACTGAACTTATTTCTTCAATTAAGTTAGGAGTGTGGAATCCAATGAGACTCTTCTAGATTAAGAAGTGATTTGAAAGACTACAGTCAAAGACAATAAGTATACTTTGGGGGGGGGTCTTTATTTAAGCAAACCAATGGGAAAAAGACTTTTTTAAAAAAAATCAGTGTTTAGTAATAATTTTAAAAGTGCTTATTTAATATTTATGGGTGAAATTACATGTCTTGGGCTTGCTTTAAAATATCCCAGGAAAGAAACAAAACCAAAACAATATTCAGTGTAGAGAAATGAAACCAGATTAACAAAAGGATAAAGGAACACAGGGGCTCATTATTCTCTCTCTCTCTTTTCGTCAGGCTTAGGTAGGACTCTTAGAATCTTTAGGTCTTCCTGGTTTATTACTGTACCAAGTAAACAGTGGAATTGATAATACCAATAAGAACAAAAACAAGATTCTATAGAACTATGATTCAATAGAAAGTAACAGAGGCCTTGTAAATAATTTAAACACCTGAATGAACTTTCTAAAAAAGGAGTATTTCTCTTAAAATAGATATTCACCCCTCAATTAGATTAAAAGGGAAATCGTTGAAAAGTTACAAGCATAATGCAAAAAGCAAAATGAATTAACCTTAAGAGCATTTTTTGCAAAATGCTTCTTCCTAATTGCTGATATACCGCTAGTATATATTGCTGACTAAAGAGGGATTCTCATTATTTACACAAGCAACACACCTACTTCAATGAATGCATGTGACAAACGTGGTGAACACCACCCAATAAAGCAGTAATTCCAGTAATCAACCCACAAAGGTGGAATAAGCCACTTCCAACTGAGGTTTGCAGATTCCCTTGGAAACACCCAAGACCTGGCCCACTGGTACCACTTGATAAATATTTGTTGGATGATCATGGTCTTTTCCTATCAAATTTTCTGATAGGAAAAAATAATTATGCACCTGTGCACTCAGCAAACATTAACTGAGTGAATGAATGGTTGTACTTTCCCAGTAACATATGGATTACTAAAAAATGAAATATTTGCAAAAAAACACGATCCATTTTCATCCTACATAAACAGGTAATTTCTATACTTCAAAGAGAGGTGGAAACATGAGACAATTTTATGGAAACTTTATTAAACATTTCAAGAGGAAAGTACTTTTGGCTACAAATGTGCACATATAATATATATAAATATGAATGTGAATGAGTATATATAAGTATACTCATAAGTATACTCATGAGTATATATAAGTATTCCTCATAAGTATAAGGAATTTGGCAAGTGTGTGTCACTAAATTGGGTCCTAATCATTATCTGCATTTACACACACACACACACACACATTTATATATGTAAAGCTGCATTTTTCTATATATATATGTATATATATACATATATATGTATATATATGTATATATATGCAAGGACTCATTAGATAACAAATTCTATCAAGTTAATATAAGCAACAGTAATATGAAATAGTATATATTTTTATTATTCTTTTCTAAATCTTTTAAAATAATTTTCTTCTTCTTCTCTAAATGATAAAGGTAATAATGAGTGACAATATTCATAGTATGATTTAGGGAGTGAGTCCTGTGGGTGGACACACATAGTGCTAAAGAGCTTTCTCCTTTGATCCTCCTAATCACCTCTAATGTAGGTAGAGCATTATCTTCATTTTATGGATAAGCAAACAGGCTTAGAGGTTAAGCCTCAGCTCTCCCTGTTCTCCTGTGGTAAACTTCCAGGAGGGAAAGAGCGTACCTGATGTGTTATTTTATAGGCATGTAAGAATTCTGCAAGCCCTCCTACTAAATTGCATGATCATTGTTGTGTGGCACATTGTTTAACTGTGAATAGACCAAGAGGAATCTCTGTGCCTTCACATTTCAACTATCATATTTTTGGGGCTTGGAACACTTTGATCCAAACCCTGTTTAGCTCATAGACAATACAAAGGAATTATATATGACCCCCGAAAGCTTTTCCTTAAATTATCTATCATTCTTGCTCTTGCTCAATCTAATTCAGATTTTAGTTATGGTTATAGATTAATTGTATTACTTACAATTATGAACCAACTTAAATAGATGTCTTTATACGATCCTATCATTCTAGCCATTAAGTGAAAAATATTGCGCCTTGAAGAACCAAGAAAAATACAAAAATCTTCCCTCGGGATTTTTTTCTTCTACATTTCTTCAGCTATGGAATGAAAATTAGTCCTAATGCACTATTAACATCCTGGCACAGACCATTCTTTCTTCCATGTGTTTTCTAAAGATATCTTTACCAACCTTCAATTCCACAGCTAGGGCAACCAAGTCAATCAATATAGATGCAGAGAATTTTGAGAATTCCAAGAAACCTTTGAGATGGAGCCCAATTTCCTTGTTCTACAGAAGAGGGAACAGGGGCTGGGAGGAGGTGCCGGATGACATTAGTTTCTTATAATCACATAGCCACATCCTGTATATGGGCCAAAACTACCTAAATTTTGCTCAAGCAGATAGGTAAATATTAATTAATTGTCAAGGTTAGAGCGGAGTCCACATGCTGTAATAAAAGGTGCTTATTGTATACCTTATAAATCTACTGTGGTGAAATTCAAGTATGTTATGGTTTAAGTTAACTCAGAATGAAGTTTTAACTTCTTCTGTAAGAGGGAGTCATCTAAAAAAGCATTAACTCTTACCACTTCCAACAGAGAAATCAAAATGTATCATTTATAGTTGAATGTATCATGATTTTTCCATTTAGCTTAGAATAAGGTAAGATTTTCTTTAGCCAACTACGCAATTTAAATGGATTCAAATTACCTTTTGGTTCTGCCATCTTTTTGGTAAATGTTCAATTATAGTCAAGATGAGTAATGACTTCCTGCTAGCCCACTTACTATTTAATGGGGAGAGAGGAGTTCTCTAATGCTTCAATGTTAATCTAATAATTCTTCATATTCTGGCAGGCCTCCATAGCTGGGTATAATGGTAACACTACATTGTTTTATTACTAGGTAACTAGCAATTTCCAGAGGGTAGGGACTCCTCCTGTTTAATGAATCTTAAATGTATATCATAGAGCCCAACCCTTCACTATAGGTGCCTAAAACTTTTCAGGACACTGCTTCTGTAGCTATAATTACAAAGTAACCAACTAAAGATCACTCAAATGAAATACTGATGTGCTTTGAGCTTGTTGGGTTTGTATTTACTCTTTGCCCCCTTCCATTTCTGTCATCCATGTGAATGGACATTAGCCCATAACTAGTAAAAATAAATAATGGCTTTCTTATTTATCTTTAGAAAGCTGCATTTTTCTATCATTCTACTCAGGTCCAAAACATTCCTAGGAGGTGTTTTTTCTAATCTCACAGAGTAGCTGCTAATTATTTGTACTTATTGTTCTCTCTAATAACACCTATCAAAGAATGACTATATGCATATACATTCAAATGTGTTTTTTGTGGGTTGTTTGTGTATGTGTGTGTGTGTGGTTTTTTTGGTCAACCCCTGAGCTTCCACTGAAACCAGGACCTGACTCTCTAACACTCTCATCAAGATCTCTATTGGCTGACTTGCGCTCTTCTAAGAGTCAAACAAGTTCACTTGAGAATGGTGAGACTTTCTTTCTTGTGGGTGGCGTTTCAACAGAGGTTAATTGCTAATGAACACCTTGGGAAGATGGCCTGAACTCCTCTGGGCCTCGTTCTTGTGGCTACCATGCATGTGTAAGGTACAAGGGCAAAGCGAAAATACAAACAAAGCTTTGAGGAAGATAGGGAAAGCACACCGGAACACCTCATGGGCTTTGGCTGATAGTTACCAAGCACAGAAAGTTTTCTAGACGAAGAGACTGAAACTGAGAAAAAATGCTAATTGGTGAGGCCATGTCTCTTTTAAGACTTCTTTAGTTCAGGGGCACCTGGGTGGCTCAGTGGTTGAGCGTCTGCCTTTGGCTCAGGGCTTGATCCCCAGGTCCCGCAAGGAGCCTGCTTTTCTCTCTGCCTATGTCTCTGCCTCTCTCTCTGTCTCTCTCATGAATAAATAAATAAAATATTTAAAAAATAATAGAAATATGTCCATAATAAATGCAAATGAATAGTGACTTTATAATTGCAAGACAAAGCTGTGACTAAAGGGAAGGGTGTTATTCTAACCACTTATGTATGATTCAGGAAGCCAAATAATGTGTGATTTCTGAGTTTAAGTTGCAAACACCCTCTTTCCTGTTTCGCCTTCCTCTCAGATGTGAGTTGAAATATCACAGGTTCTCCTTATTTATTTTTAAAAAAAAAGCTGAGAAAACCATTTTTCTGTAATTCATTTTTTTCTATTGTTGAAGCAAGGCCACACTCAAAGTGGAGTTGCATTAGTACAATGGACTGAATGTCGTGGCTACGTATCTCTTTCTAGGGAA